AATGGCAAACCTCAATCTCCCTTCTCGCTGCTGAGGAACAAGAAACATTCCACTGAGGAACAATCCCAGGAATATGACTTCTGTTCAAAAATCTAATAAACTTAATAACAAAATTATTTGGTGACTAAGGCTTATTTGATCTCTGTGGCAAAGCAAAAGAAGTCAATCTGCTTGCAGACGTTGAGCCAGTCTTAACGGAAATGAAAGTCTCTCATTGACAAAGACAGAAAAACCTGCCTTTTATACTACTGTAAGGACCTGTGCATTTGCTAAGGTACTGTTGGAGCTCTTTGATTATATTTAAACATCCATTTATTTGGGGGGCCATATCCTGCCACTGATGTACAGACAGAGTTCACCACTGCCTTTTCATTTTTTAAGCTTAACCGAGATATAGTAAGCACTGGTTTGAGTTTATTTAGAGGGATTTTATTTAGAGGGAATTAATAATTTACCACCCTCCCCAAAATGGTGATTTAAAAAAACCCCAAATACTAGAAACTTAGTGCATCTTCATTTAAGGTACCATCACCAACTTTAATTTGACCCCTGCATTCATGCATGGGACAAGCTGATTATCCTAGGATTGGTGATCCCTATTCTACAGAATACAAAAACCGTAGAAGAAGAAAAGGAACCTGCATGCTGTTTCACGTAGAGCACATGCAAGAAAAGCTTCCTCATCTAGTCAAGTAATTTCTTCACCGATTTCTTTCCTGCAGTTTGCATTACTGCCCAAAAGAATATTAAGTTTCTTCCAACATCGTACTCTTAGTTAAAGTATATGGCAAATTTGTGGGAATTCAGAGATCTCAAAGAGTACCTCAATCATTTCTCCTTCACCCCATATTCTAACAATTCACAGATGGTATTATCTAAATTTAATATTTGGATATTTGCACGTCCATCATCTGCAGCCTTATTACAGCGCTGACTTACTAAAATAGTTAGGAGATTTGACTTTGATTGTCGTGGATGTAAGATTTCACAGCTTCTTTCTGTCAAGTTAGGAATCATTTACACCAAGTTCAGATGTAACTGGTGTGGTTAGCAAGAAAAAAAGAATGGTTTAAATCTCATTTAACTTATGTTTCATATAATTTAAAACATCCTTTGGCATTTATGGTGAACATTTAGGTTATATGCTCTTTGGGATCACAAACACCTCAAGTAACACCTAACCTTAATTATGGCACCAAAAAGGAAAGCAAGTGATGCAGACAGTGATCAAGAAGCTAAAAGGAGGAAAAAAGTTGATTACTTTTAGGCAGAAAGTTGAATTATTGGATAAGCTTGCAAGCGGCTGTAGTGCGGCATCACTAGTGAGAATGTACGGCATTAACGACTCTAATGTGTGTTATATTTTTTAAAAGGACAAAAATATAAGGGACAGTGTTTCTGCAAGTGCACCAGCTTATGCGAAGGTGTCATATGTGAGTTGTGACCCCAAAATTGAAAAAAAAATGGAAAAGGCAATAAGCATATGGATTAAAGACATGACACAGAAATGAGCACCTGTGAATGGTGCTGTAATTTGAGAAAAGGTTTTTTTGCTTCTGGAAGCATTTTGCACAAGCATCAGATGGTGAGGAGGGAACATCGTGATAGTGCAGTGTCATTCACCACAAGCAAGGGGTGGTTTGACAAATTTAAAGAGGTAAAGTTTACATAATGTGAAGTTAACAGGGGAATCTGTGTTAGCAGACCATAAAGCAACACAGGATTATCCCTTGCAGTTTCCCATCACAATGTTCCTTTGCAAACCCACTCCATTAATCTTCCCATCCTAGAGGAACAGTAAAATTTGCAGGAAGCGAGTTCAAAGAACTGTTGTGAGTGATTACCTTTGAAGCTGAAGTTGTTTGATGACCATACAATATTATCTTTGTGTTTGAGTTTGGCTGGAAACCTACTGCTGTGAAGTTAAAATTGTTTGTTGACTGTGAAACAGCAGGCAATAAAACACTCATTTTGGACAATAAGTTTGTTTTTTGTTGCGAAAACCCCCACCCCATCCCACTCCGTATTCACGGATTTTGGCATTTGCAATTATCTCTAGAACATATCCCCCACAAATGTGGAGGGCTTCCTGTAACCAAAATAATTAAGACTCAAAATTAAAAAGGAGTCAGGATTTTGAAAACATGCTTATAACTTCTAGTTCTGTCCAATTAAATATTTAAATAATTATTCACAAGATAAAATTTATAGTGAAATCTTATTTGGCCTTTACAGGCTGAAAAAAATACACACAAATAGTTCACTCATGGAACACTGGCCTTGAAAATCTTCCAAGTACAATCTATAAAAATTATAACTACCAGAATCAAGTATTTAGATTGAAAATATGAACACATTTTTAAACAGCTCTTTCTCCATATTGAAATACTTTAAACGGGCATTTCAAACTCCAGTTATATAATTGTTTTGCACAACAGTCAATGCAGCATTATAAGTCTGACAGCCATTAGAATGGAAAGTATAAATAACAGACCCATGAATTGGCAACTCAGCATTTTATATTTATGAAAGTGTTCGGCACTTTCATTTTGGAACAGAGTAATTCAAACCTTGATTAAACAACTTTAAATTTTTGTTTTCCACTTTTTATGTAGACCCTCTATTTATACATGGTTGCAGATATTAAAATATTTAAAATAACTAAATTTTACATAGATTATTGAACATTATTATCCAGATAAAAATTGTCTGGCAAATCAATACATATCTCTTCTACCTCAGTAATATTTAACTTGTAATTTGTTACACTGCATCAAAGTACCATAATTCTCATTCTCCCTAAAACATTCCCAATACTTGCTCCACCAAGTCCAGTCTCAGCTATTTCTAGCAACAGTTTCCCTTGTCTTCTGTTGTCTAATTGCTTTAACTAAAAACTGGTAATTGTTCTTCCATGCCAACTTCTCTGTAAAGGTAAGCTGTTATTCTTTAATCCTCTTGAAGGCTAAGATCATGTGTACTGTGTGTTCTTACCTAACTATTCTGTAATACAACTTGTAGTTCAAATTGTCAACTTTTAAGTGGTGACTCGGGATGCCTAAGTATTCTAGTAGATATTGAACCTCTCTACTCCAGCACCCTCGGGACCGACCCGTGTCAAATCAGGGAATTTGCCTAACCACAGGAGGTAATATTGTGTAGCAGCATTACCGCAGCATTTCCACTGCTTACTGGGCTCTTAGAAGACCTTTGGGATAAATTAGAGCTAACTAACGGAACAAAACAGAGCCAGGCCTGTGGCTGTAAACAAACTTTGTGGGACCACTGGAAACATAGCCACACCCATGTTAAGTGGACATTAGGGATGTGAAAGTGTAACCATGTACATGGTTAACCAATGAGAACTGGCAGGGGGCTATTGCTGGGGTAGCAGTTACCAGGTACTGTACCTGATAAGCATTACCTAGTAACGGTGATGCTTACCAGGTAACCAGTTAACTGTTTACATCCCTAAGTATAATCAATAATCTCAGCTCCCTTGAGTCATAGAACTATCAAAACTAGTATCCCTCTATTTTACATTTGAGTATTCTTCCTGTAAGAATATCTTTGCTGGATTTAACTTGTTTCCATAGCCATTTATCAAGTCAGAGTACCTGTTCACAATTCCCTTTATTGTTATTTCATACAAGAACCTAAATAAAAATAACTGCATACAAAAATATTTCAATGTGCAGAGTTGAGAACATTTTGTATCTGACCAGTAGCTCATAGCTGATCTATATTAGGATTTCATGCTGTTGTCCATAACTATGGTATTTGAGCACCTTCTCTGTAATAACTGATGCCACAGCAAAGTCCACAGTGGACTGACTGCATAGCATCTCTGGAACTTCTCCCATGAAAAGTGGGGGTTAAAACTATTTT